ATTAGCAGCTTTACTAAGAGTCACTCTTTTCTGCATTTTCCTGTCAGCTAGGACATGACTGACATAAGGTCCCAAAACATAGGAGAGATAGATGGGCACAAATCTTTGAGTTATTAACAAAAGGGTATATTTGGTTTTCAGTGGTCAGGGTTTTTATATCATCCTAGTATAATTAATATGATTATGTCTAGGAGGAAAAAGAAAACATCCTATCTTGGTAAATGTTGTGAAGCATGGAGCTGAGATTTTGGGCTAAAGATTTCAATAGGAAGATGGGTTCTTGTGTTAATGAGACTGAATTAGCCAGTCCTTGTCTCCCTGAATAAACTCAGACTGTCCATCAATGTGATCCTTAACTCCTTTCTGGCTGGCTTGAGCTTTCTATGTAGCCTCCACAGCTGCTCTCATACAGAAAAAAAAAACAAGTCCCAGAATAAAGATGCATCGAATCCTCAGGGGATAGACAGACTTTCTTGCAGTCTCTGCAGGGTTCACAGGTTCAAATGCAACCTGCATGAATTGTAAGAACTTTAATTGAGTAGATTAAGAGGGCCTCATAATTATAAACGGCAGTAGGTATAACAAGAGGCTAAATGCGTAGCTATGGTTTTAATTAGCTGGTGCTTCAAATTAGTAATGCTGGATTCAGTCAGAAATCAGTGACGTTATACACTGGAAACCTCATCACCATGTAGTTCATTCCTCATTAGACTTCACCGTGTAAAACTTTCAATACAACACCATGCTGGGCTTGAAAGGAAAAAGTTGGACCTATTTGGTTGCGGTCCAAGAGCAGTGGAACTCTACGGAGAGTAAATTCTTTCTCACCAGAGACATGAGAATTAACTGTTCTTTGTTAGATGTGTTAAAAAAAATGCAGCAGGCAGTTTTGCCTGCAACAGATAACACCCATGTGCACGCTCAATCTGCTATTCAAATTTGCATCTGGAATTTGGTAGCTAATGAACTGATACAAAATGCAGCCAAGAGCCTCCTAACAAATCAAAGCTGGGGTAAAGCTCAGAAAGGGCCGTTATTTCTGGCCTCTTGAAGGGCTGTCATGCAACTTTTAAAGCACATTTCCTTTTCCTCTCTCTCTCTCTCTCTCTCTCTCTCTCTCTCTCTCCTTTTTTGCCTTCGGCATTTTAATTATGTCTTTCCCTCAGAGGAGAAAGAAGGTAGTTTGCAAAGCCAAGAGACCAAAGCACTTCAGTTTTCTTCATGGGAGAATTAAATGTAATCTATGGGCTTGTCATTTTGAGATGTCAGGTGCAAAAAAATGAACAGATAGCTAGGAAACTGACATCTTGCTCACATTTACTCAGAAGCAGGAGACTTCAATTCTTGCTTTTGTGTTGAGAATCATGTGCTATGGAAAGCAAAGAAATTAATGTCTTCTATTGCAAAAAAAAATCCTCCTACATTTACAATGCTAAATACTACCTGAAATTGTTATTCTATCCCATCATGCACACATTTTTCTTACATTTATGACAAACTGATATGCTTCTATTACCTGTGGCTATTTGTGGTATTGAGGTTAGAGTGCCATGCCACGGTAAAAGGACTGAAGTTGTTACTATGCTTGGTTAATTTGAAGTCAGCCTTCAACATGGACATTGAACACATGGTACCATACTATGTAAGGTTTTTGGCCTCAGACTGGAATCACACTGATATTACTCGCAGAACATACTCAGGTGTGCCCCTCAGGGATTATGTGCTACACATATTCTATATTATGAAAGCTAGAGGTGCGATTGAATACTCCAGAAATGTCATCAATTTAAAGTGGAAGCTTAAAGGTGGTTTATGTTGACAATATTCCCATCCATCAAAGTACTGAGTTTGACAATTCAAAAGTTCCTATGAAGATTGAATGATTAAGTGTAGTAACATCACATAATCCTTATATACTAAAGTGTATAGTTAATGTACTAAACAAGTGGTTCTCAATCTTCATAATGCTTAGACCTGTTAATACAAGTTATCACATTATAATGACCTCACTCATAAAATTATTTTCATTGCTACGTCATAACTATAATTTTGCTATTGTTATGAATTGTAATGTAAATATCTGATATGCAGAATGATTTTAGGTGACCTCTGTGAGAGAACTGTTCAACTCCCCAAAGGGGTCATGATCTACCAGTTGAGAACTGCTTGCTCAAGGCCCTTATTTTGTAGATGATGACTATGGTACTTCTTAGTGAACTAGTTAACTAGGCACTGGAGTTTATGCTACATTTAGAAACACTAACTCCACTTATATACTGATATACATCTTTGATCCCCGTTTTCAAACATGAAAGTTTGTATTTCAATGACTTGTTTTAATATGGCATTTCTATATGACAGGAAACTCATCCACATTATATACTGCTTGATAGTCATGTTATGCATATTTATATAATTATATGAATAAACTTGCTTTAATATTTTCGATTTTCCACTAATTTTGAATATTTTCTTTCTTTTGAAAAAGAGTTTCACTATATAGCTATGGCTGATCTGGAACTCAGGATACAGGTCAAACTTGTCTCAAACTCACAGAGATCATGTCTTAGTGTTCTAATGCTGTGAAGTGATAAGACTAAAGACACTCTTAGAACACATTTAGTTGGGACTTGCTCACAGTTTCAGCCATTTAGTTCATTATTACCATCATGGGGAACATGGCCGCACACAGACAGTCATGGTGCTGGAGAAGGAAGTGAGAGCTCTACATTTAGATCTGTAGGCATCAGAAAGTGTGGGCAACTGAGACTGGCTTGAGCATCTGAAACCTCAAAGTCCACCTCCAGTGACACAATTCCTCCAAAAAGGGTACACCAACTCCAACAAGGCCACACCTTCTAATCCTTTACAACTAGTGCTACTCTGTGATGACTAAGTATTCAAATATATGAGCCTATGTGGGGCATCATTATTCAAACCACTGCAGATTCACTTGCCTCTATGCCTTCTTCAATGCTGTGATTAATGCCTGCATCACTATACATGCCTCTATTTTATTTGGAATTTCATACATATTCATATAATATTTTGGTCAAATCTACCCCATAGTCCCTACTATATACTTTCTTCCCTACACCTCATTAAAACTTTTTCCTCTCAATTACATGGGCTCATTTTTTTTATTAAATCCACTAACTGTGCATGGATGTAGAATAATCTATTAGAGCATGTGTCGCCTCTCAGGAACCACATTCTGAAGAAAACTGACACTTCCTCTTCAAAGAACCAGCATTTGCCTGTAGCTCTTGATATAGGGGAGGAACTTCATGCACCTGTTCCTCAACCATCCTGGGATTTTTGATGTATTGTTCTTATGCAGCTCATTCATGTTCATACAGTCATAGTTGCTGTGAGTTCATTTGTACAATAGCTCTAGAACAGTGAGTATGTAATATGCCTGTGTCTACTATCTTTGGCTCTTATAATCTTTCTACCAACAATTCTGAAATGATATTTGAGCCTTGGGGGTGCTGGAAGTATGTGATACAGGTGTCTCATTTATAAGTGAGAATTACACGCTATCTTATTATCTGCATTTTGTTAGTTATGAATTTCTTGTCATTTACTGAAAAATAAATTTCTCTGATGAGGGTTGAGAACTGTACTAATCTATAAGTATAGCAATTAAAATACTAGAAACAATTACACAGTATTCCCCTTTAAAAAGCAGAGTAATAGAATTAGATTTTCTTTTAGGGTCTGTGACCTAGCCAGTCACAGGATCTGTCTTATGGACTGGGATTTAAATTAAATCAAAAGTATTACTATTAAAACATCCATCCCACTATTATACCTGTGGGTGTATCTTGCTAAGCTAGTTGTAATTGTGCCTCTCAGGTTCATACATAGATGCTCTGTGGAGAAGACCCAAATGTAAATAGGAAATTTATTTATGTTGTATATAAGTCTTATGCTCCTATTGTGAAGGAAATTTTAGGGAATATGCTTAGTGTACCTGAATTTTCACTCCAACCTCTCACATACCATTAACTATGGAATTTTCCAGATGTAGCACAATGTATGCACTTTAAAAGTTTCAGATTTGGGAGCATTTTGATTTTTCAGATATTTGTGCTAGAGATTATCAATTTTTGGTATAAATCATATACATTTAGATTTTAATTTGAAATATTGCATAGTAGAGAAAATAACTACCTTAATAAGGAAGCATTCAATTCTGTAACCCTCAGGGTCACATACTAGATGTTAAATGTTGTCCAGAAGCTCTGAATACTTCATTGGAAAAGTCTGAAATTTGATGAAACTCTCAGAGGTAGTGTTTATAAAACACCTTTATATTGAATTCAATTAATTCTTCTGCCATATATCTCTTTCATTGCTAGTCAATTATTTGTTGGTTCAGCTAGGATCCTTCCTTTCTTAATAATTTCCCCAAAGCCCAAAGGGTTCCTACTGCAGTGTAAAGCACACATATATATATACTCTAAGTATTTAAATAATTTAGTTAATATTCATATGTGTCCACCACCACTTGAGATGGTTTAATGTCTATAAACTCACCCGGGATCATTAAAATATGGTAAAGGCTTTGGGAATAGCACCATTTCACATAAAGATTCATACTTTATTCATTTGTTTCCTTTGTATTGTGTGTCATCTATAGATTCATGGCACCAGGTGGCTAATAACATTATTTGACCTTAATTAAGCCCTCTTCTGTATAGTACACTACTTTTGCATATTATGAAATTGCATCTGCTAATCAAATGTACAAAAGACAAGATTTCTACATATTTGTACAGCCATGGGTACAATTTCTAAAGAATAAGATTCTGTTTTATTTTTCTTATTTTAAATTCAATACAGATAAGAAAAGAGTTCTCTATATAGCACTAAGTTGAGGAGAATTGAATTTGCATCTTTTCTCTAACTAGGGATAACAAGGGAGATCCACATTTCTTACATTTCTTCATGGTTAATTAGTATTTTCTCTGTTTGTGTTTTCCTTTTCATGGCAGTCACTATGAACAAGACCGTAATGCACTTAAAAAAAGGGAATGGGAACGAAGGAGTCAAGAAGTTCAACAAGAAGAAGATCTCTTTTCTTCAGGCTTTGATCTTTTTGGGGAGCCCTACAAGGTAGCTGAATATGTATGTAATTTATCTTTTTGGACAATATTTTCTTGCTACAGTTTTAAATTTACTCATTAACACTAACTTTATTTTAAAGCAATAAAAGTTATTTTAGAAGTGATAGTGTTACATTGGGGGCAATTAAAAGTTTCAAAAGATGTGTGCCAGAACAAAGTTCATATAATTCTCTGACTTGTAAGACTTTCTGTCTTCAAAGAGTCACTTACACTCCAATCCTTGTTATAAGAAATGTTCTTTCTTTGAGAACCGGGTATCGGCTGGGTGAAGGTTCAAGGGACAGGTCACTATGACTCTGCCTATGATTCACTTGTCCTTATCTAAGTTGGTATTATCTGCCAAGGCTACCTATTTACAAGGTCTATGACTACTCAGGCTTGTAAATTTCCACAAAAGCTGCCTGTTGACACTAGCTTATAGCCATCTGTTTCAATGTTTTTCCACTGAGACCCAAGACTTGGTGTTAGTATACATGTATGACAGGCCTATTGCTGATTTTAGGCCTATGGCTGATTTTAGGCCTTCAGTGTGTAAGCAGGGCTGCCCCTGACATCTCCTCCCTTCTCTAAGTATAGAAGGGCTGTGGCAATTCTAATCTTGTGAAGGCGGGGATAGAGGCCTGACCTCTAGTACTTGAAGGGGACCTTGTAATGGCTCCAGTCCCCCTGTTGTTGTCCAGTGAGTCAAGAGGGCCATACCCATCCCGATGTCTTTTTCCTGGAGAGGGGATCCTTCTGACGTCAATCCCTATACAGTCAGGCTTATCCCTCAGGGAACCCAGAGAGATATTTTTATCTTTTATTTATATTCCCTTGCAGTGCTTAGCCTCGCAGCCTAAGCAAGAATTCAGATAGCCTGTCAGAGGGGGTTCTGGGTGGCCCCTCTCTGCTTGGTCTAGGGGCAGAATTCCCCCCTTTTAGGTTGGGTGGAGATGGGTTTTGGAAACACCCTGTATAAAGTAACAACCTCATCTTGAGTCTCGTGGTCCTCCATAGCTAACTTATGATAATGTATCTGAATAGGTTTTGCTACCAAATTCTGTATTCCCCCTGAACACCCACACTCCAGTGTCATTCCCTTCCCCACATCCTGCCTTTCTGTGTTTATAACCCCTGTGTGAATGAATTACGATTTGAGAAAAGTAAATTACTTAAAAAAATAAAAAAATAAAAATATAAAAGATTAAAAAAAATAAAAAGAAATGGGCCTTCTACGTTTCTTATGTATTTAGATGAGCAACCCTTGTGAACCTTATTAGATCACCAATGGATAGGCTACTCACCTTCCCAATCAGTGTCATCTAATGCAAAACTGATGCCCCCCTCCTTTTTTTTCCAGTTTAGTTTAGGATTCATGGTTGGTAGTCCTAATAAGCTTTTGAAAATCCTTGGCTTCTTGGCAAGGGAAAAAAGCCCATCATGTTTCCTCATGGCTAATAAGCATGGGCTAGCATTGTTCAACCAGAGGATAGAATGAAGTAAGTTGATTTTTCCAGAGACATTCAGCCTCCTATATAGCTCCATGAATGATCAAATATAGATGGCTACAAGTATTTGTTTTAGGGTGACTATCTCTGACTTTTTTTTTTGTGGCGGAAATTAGAGGTAACTGGAAAGAGATTAGAAGGGAAGAGTTTTATTGTATTACTGGCAACTGGTTGGGTTTTTTTGTTTGTTTTTTAGTAAAACTTAGTAGTATAATTTTTAATGAAACTAAGCCAATAAAAGAGATAAATGAATGAAGAGGTGATTTAAGAATGACATTATTTAAAGGACAGTGGCTTCAAATAGGAAAGTTCTCAACAAATACAGAGTAGGTTCAGTGTCTACTTTGATGTAAAGTTGGCAGTTTGCATTGGGGACTACTAAGTCAACAGTTTGGCTGGTTTGTTAAGAATGAATAAAGAGTTCTTGATTCAGATACTTTAGTACCTTCAAAGTTTTGAAAGGCTGACAGAATAAATGACTAATTTTCAAATAATTGGCAATTCACATACACACCAGAATTTTTACACTCTTAATTGATCCAATTTATGTAGTATATTTAAATGTATATATTCAGATATATGGTTAATTTAATTTACATAGTTTGAAGGTCCACTATGTGCTAATGATCCCTACCTTCAGGGAAATTCTAGTGACAAGAGTGTGTCATGAATGAGTGATAGCACTGGTGATAGAAATGGAGAGAGGAAGTTAAAGGAATTATTGTATTTGCTAAGAGAAACTTGTGACAGGATGGATTTGTGATAAAGTACGGAGGCTGAAATGATAAGAATAGGTTTCTAACTAAATGTAGTATGGGATAAGAAGGATTGAATTTCTATTTTGTTTTGTTTCTTACCTGAAGACATGATGGTTATTATCAGTAAGTAGTTTAGTAATAAGGGTATGTCCATAACAGAGGTTAAACAAGGCCCCCACTCATCTCCAATTTTTTAACCCAGAATGACTCATGTCTAAAGGAAATGCAGGGACAAAGAGTGGAGCAGAGACTGAAGGAAAGGCCATCCAGAGACTGCCCCACCTGGGGATCCATCCCATCTGCAAACACCAAACACAGACACTATTGCTGATGCCAGGAAGTGCTTGCTGACAGGAGCCTGATATAGCTGTCTCCTGAGAGGCTCTGCCAGAGCCTGACAAATATAGAGGCTGATGTTTGCAGCCAACCATTGGACTGAGTGTGGGGTCCCCAATGGAGGAGTTAGAGAAAGGACTGAAGGAGCTGAAGTGTTTTGCAACTCCATAGGAAGAACAACAATATTGACCAACTAGAACCCCCAGAGGTACTAGGGACTAAATCACCAACCAAAGAGTACACATGGAAGGACCCATGGCTCCAGCTACATATGTAGCAGAGGATGGCATTGTCTGGCATCAGTAGAAGGATAGGCTGTTGGTCTTGTGAAAGCTAGATGCCCCAGTGTAGGGGAATGCCCAGGCATGGAGGTGAGAGTGGGAGGTGGAGGGACACCCCCATGGAAGCAGGGGGAGGGGGGATAAGATAGGGGGTTCTGGAGCAGAATCCGGGAAAGGAGATAACATTTGAAACGTAAATACATAAATTATCCAATAAAAATTATTTTAAAAAAGAAAGGGGCCTAAAAATATGAATCCATATGGCATGACTTTATGAGTATAAAAAGACTTGTGAGGTAATCGTTTGTCCGTACTCTAGACTAGGGCTTTACATATGTATTCTTTTCATTGTTATAAGTAAGATACAAATTGTCCCCATGTTTTTTGAGGAATTTTCAGTCTAAAAACTTAGATGATTCTTGAGCAACTTCAAATTTTTCTCAGTTCATAGTTTTCTCTGCTTTTTTTGTTTGTTTGTTTTCTTAAGTTTGTGTTTTTATTTCTTTTCTTTTCGTCTTCAAGACAAGGTTTGTCTGTATAGCCCCTGGCAGTACTGGAACTCACTCAGTAATCCAGGCTGATCTGAAACTCAAGAGGTCTGTGTGTCTCTGCATGTGCCACCACTCCCTAGCTATTATTTTTTAACAAAAAATCACACAATAACTTTGATCATGTTTCTTTTATTCCAGTTCATTCTAGTTCTTCCCCACTTCTCTATCTACTCAGCTTCATGTTCTTTCTCTCCTCTTTCAAACCAAAAAGCAAACAAGGAACCAAGAAAGACACAAAAGACAATGATCAAAAGAAACAAGTAAAAGGTGAATTAAATGAAAATGCCAAAGCAAAATAAAAGGATACAAAATGTCCACAAAACACCATTGAGACTATTTTTGTGCTGTCCCAGTAACTAATCCTGGGCTCTGGGACTAAAATAAAGCTTATATACTCAGTAGGATTCCTGTTGCAGAAAATTTATTTTGCCTTTGCTAGCAGGCATCAATTGTAGATAGATTTTTGGTTAGGATTGGGGCCCAGTGTCACATCTCCCTCTTGGTGCTGGGACCCCATCTGGCTTGAACCTTGCAGGGCTTATAAATGCTGCCACTGTTTCTGTGAGTTCATTTGTATATCAATCCTACTGTGTCTGGAAGACACCGTTTTCTTGAAGTCATCCATGCCCCCTACCTCTTACTTTCTGCCTACTCTTCTGCATAGAGCCCAGAGAGGAAAAGATTAATAAAGACATTACATTTAAGAATAAGTATTCCAAAGGCTCACATTCTCTGCATATTGTCCAGTTGTGGATCTTTTTATTACTTACCACCTACTGAGGAGAAACTTCTCTAATGAAGGTTGAATGAGACATGATTTATGTGTTTAATAGTAGTCTATCATTAGGAATCATGTTATTGCTATGTTCCTTTAGAAGAATTAGGTTTTAGTGTTGGTTATCTTGTAGGTCAATGACCTATGTAGTCTCACATTCTTGACTGCCTGAACATTTACAAACATTAGTTCCATCTCTTGGAGTGGAACTTAAGTCCAAACAAAAAGTAGTTGGTTTCTTTCATAACATTTGTGCATGTTCCTTCTTTTTAAAATGAATCTTATTATGATTACTACAATTACTATTACTAGTGCTATTTTACAGATTTTCATGGCTCAATAAAAATGAGAAAACTTTGGAACAGAGAGGTTTAAGTGTCTTATACAAGTACATTTGTCTTAAAGGAGGTAAAGACCAAGACCGATGGAGACTTATTTGAATTATTGTGAAGATCAAATGAAATGGCTTGGAATACTTTGCCTTAAAATCTGCAAAGTACATAAAGTTATAGTTTGTATCATTATTATATGTAAAGAAAGCAATGGAAAACCATGGCCCAGAGAAATTAACTATAAAAATATCAGAATTAGGAAAAAAGGAAATGACTAAATCACATACTTTTGCTATACTACAATAAAATAGAAGAAAAATGAACTTCAAAACTTGAATTATTTTGCTTATTTTATTAAAGGGAAATAGTGTGGTACAATAGCCTCTTAGCACATTAGTCTGGCAAGGAAATTATACTACGGATTTTAGATAACATTAGAAGCAAACTAAGGGAACTTTGCATTTCCTAAAGTAATGAGAAG